GGCCGAACAAGCCCAACATCGGCCCAACCGACCGGACGAATGACGCGTACGATTTTAATTATGGACCCATAACCTCACCCTTCCACAAACTTAGATACCTCTTGAGGCCCATTCCAAGTATCTAATGCTAAGGTTTATAAATTCCTCAAGTCTTTCCAATGTGGGACAAGTACATTTCATAAATGTGTAGGAAACCCACCAAAAACTAGTTCCACGAATCCGAAAACACGCGTTGAATTCTCATTCATCCGAAAATGATTTTGAGCAACCAAATACATGAATTTATTCACTATGCAGCATTAAACATAAACCCATTTAGAAACGTTATAAATAACGCTTGGGTCTCACCTTAATTAATGTTCAAAGTTAGCAAAAATTAAGGTAATGTAAAAGTCATTTTCCAACAGTACATGTGACTTGGGGGCGCTCTATTAATATTACTAGTGTCCCCGGGCAAATCTGGGTCATCCATTCATGGATCTTGGACATGTATATAGTTGTAGTGTAAAGGAAGTCACACTCAGACTCAAATGTGAGTAGTGTGAGTACTTTTAATTTTACGGAGTAATGATTTACACATGTTGTGTGTAAAATGGTTTAGGTGATTGTAAAGTAAAAATAAAAACAAATCAATTGATAAAAGCAACGGCGAAAAAATAATTATGTTTTCAATTTTCATTAGACACTCTATCCTTGACCCAAATCTGAGTTCCAGACTCAATGAAAATTTAAAGGAAGCAAAAGTTTCATAGTATCGCTATTGGGCAGCTTTTCAAGTTTCACGAGAATATCTAAATTGGAAGACTGGAGTAGCATTATCTAAAAATCCTATAGACATTAAAACCATGCCTTACAAACAATTCTGTGGAGATGTCCACGAATTAGGTGGAAAAAGAACGGCAGTGATTCGTAGCTCGAATCTTGTGGCTCGAGAGTGGCTCGATTTTTGTTTTCAGCTGGAAAATTCCTTTTCGGCAGTGCTACGTAGCTCGAAACCCCTCCCCCCCTAATCCCCCGAACCAAAAACGACGCCCTTTTTGTTTTATTTTTATTTTTTTTGCAAATCAGAAGCAGGAAGCAGGAGAAGGAGGAGGGAGGAGGAGGAGGAGGAGGAGGAAGGAGGAAGGAGGAAGGAGGGGAGGGGGCCATAAAAATGGCCGGAGGAGGAGTCGGGGCTGCGACGGGCGAAGGCGGCGGAGGCGACGAGCTCCTCGCGACGAGGACGGCGGGCGGAGGCGGCGGAGGCTCCCTCTCTCCTCTTCCCCTCTGTTCTTCTTCTGGTTTCAACGAAGAAGAAGAAGAAGAAAAGGAAGCAAGAAAAAGAAAGAAAAAAAAAATCGAATTGCAAAACGACGTCGTTTTGCAATTCGAGCCACGATTTTCGAGCTACCAGTCTTTATCCGAAAAAGAAATAGAAAAAGCAAAGAAAAATATGATAAATTGTTTACAATCTCGCTACGAAATCTGCGTGGCTCGATTGGCCCGAAAATCAAAACGACATCGTTTTGATTTTTTGTTTTTTTTTTTTTTTTTTTTTCGTTTTCTGAAGATCTGATGAAGAAGAAGAAGAAAAAAAAGAGAAGAAGAGGAAGAAGCAGCTAGTGAACAGAGCATCATCTTCAACAACAACCTCTTCATCAACACAACATCTCATCAACAACAACCTCTTCATCAACACAGCATCTCATAATCACCATCACCATCACCTCAAGATCCAAAATCAATTCATCATAGATCCAAAATCACCATCTCTCTCTCTCTTTTTTTTTTGAAACAGACAAAGTGGGTTTGATTTATGAAGTTGAAGAAGAAGAAGAAGAAAATTCATCAAACCCAGCAAAAAAAAAAAAACAGTTTCACAGAAGGAAAAAAAAAATCAAAATCAAAAAATCAAACCCAAATCAAAGAGAGGGATGAAAGGTCTCTGTTTTTCTTTGTCAAAAAATGAATGAATTCACACAAAATCAAACCCAATCCCCTCTTTGTTTTAGATATAAACAGAGGTTGTTCTCTCTCTACTCTTTTTTTTGCCCAAGTCAAGTTGTTGGGTTGATGATTGATTAGCTGGAACCAACAGTTCAAGTTCATGACTTTTCTCATAGACTCCTCCGATTGCTCCTTCGCCTTCTCTTCCCTGGTTGTTGTGTTCATAATGTATTAAAAGAGATGAATAAAGGTTTACAAATTCGGGCCATTTTGGAGCCACGGTATTCGAGCTACCACTCTCAATTGCTTATTTGTGACATAAATTACAGCAATGTTAGGGTTACAAATTTTATGGTTCAAATGGTTTGAAATTGTCAAAACGACATCGTTTTAGGTGTAAAATAAGTTAAAACGACGTCGTTTTGACAGTTTCGAACCATTTAAACCACAGAATTTATGACCACCAAACATTTTTCCATAAATTAAATTTTGAGTATACATGTGAATTTGTGAAATACTTTTATAAGACAGGTTATTCAAATAATAAATTGCACAAATCTATATAAATTCGAAAGCTACCGCCTCCGTGGAATGAAAAAATTCAAAAGAGAATTTAAACTCATGACTTAAAACCTTACTATAGTTAGGTGGTGTTTCATAAAATTAAAAATTGAAGATTGAAAATGAAGTATTATGAATGTTGAATTTTCTAAGTTAGAAAATTATTGGATAAAAATTTAGGTGTTGAATTAAAAATAAGTTGATTGATATGTGTAAGATAAAATTTAAAATTTATTATTTGTAAATTGTATGTTTTAATTTTTATATTGTGATGATAGTGGTGGTGGAGTGGCATGATGGTGATGGTGGTGGTGGTAATGTTAATGGTGGCAGTGGCGTGGTGGTGGTGATAACAATGATAGTAGTAGTAAAATGATGATATTCATGACAATAATAACAATGGTGATGAAGGTAGTAGTGGTGATGGCGGTGGTGGCAGTGATGGTGGCATAGTGGCAGGGGTAGTGATATCAGTAGTAATTGTGGTGATAATGATAGTAGTCGTGGTGACATAATTGTGATGGTTGTGATGGCGGTGGCAGTGGCATGGTGGTAGAGGTGGTGGTGGTGGTGGTGATAGCAGCGGTGATGATAGTATGTTTATGATAGTGTATATCGATATTTATGTTTAATATTTATAAATTCAGTCAGAATTAAATAAGTTTCGTATGATTTAAAAATTTCTTAAATTTTAGTCTACATTTTAAGAAATATTTAAATTTTTAAATGATATCAATTATAATTATCAAACGAACCCCCTTAAACTTAATATTAATTATAAGAAAATTTCTTAAAGAATCATATATCAATCTCAAATTGCATAAGCAAATTATAAAAAAAAAAAGGGAAATTCTAATTTTTGCTCTTAGACATACCTACTCAGAGGGGATGTAAAGAGGATTCTTACATAAGAAAAACCACTATATCCAGAAGGGATATAAAAAATCTACCAATTATAGAAGGAAAAAAAAAAAATCATCCTAGAAAGAAATTTTTATTATGAAAAAATCCAACCAAAATCATGTAAATATTATTTATGTGATGATGAGGTAGGGCATTATGTAAATAAGAATATAGGAAAGACTAAAATCCAATAATTCAGAAGGAGCGAAAACAAAATTTGAAATTTATTAAAAATTTTATGACAAAGAATTTGGTGATGAATCTATACTTAATATGTAATCAAACTTCTTTCAAATTTATTTGTGGCTTAATTTTATTTGACAATATGCTGGCTTTAGATTCTGAACAATTTGAAGAAAAATTTAAAATCCAATCAATATAAATGGTGCGTTCAAAAAAAATCTCTATAAACGGCTATCAGCATTGTATGGAGAAACTGACCTCTCTTCCCTATTTAAAGACTAGAGCTTATTGTATGAATAAAATTGTCATTAAAATTCAATTGAAACCTATTCTCTTACACAACAATATTAATATGTGAGCAATTGTCTGCTACCTTCCAACCTAGAAGCCCTTCTATTTCATAAACAAGTATAAATTATAGAGATGAGCAAGGTTCGGTGGTTCGATTTAAGAGTAAACCAAGACCAAACAATTACTTACGGTTGGAATCAAAACAAACCATGAGAATCTTCTAACCAAATCAAACCAAACCACTAAAACGCAGTTTGCTCAGATGAATGTTTAGAATTAGGGCTACCACTATACAAGAACACACCTGCAAAATTGACCCTATTTCAAAAGCCACCCCCCCTCCCCCCAATTCATGTCAGTTTAGTAGAACTCTCAATGAACAATCATTTTAGAAATTCTCATTAACTGAACAATGTCTCACAAAGATAAGATCCATTTGATAACGGAGCACTAATAATGCCTGATGAGTTTGACAATGCCTGAAGATAGATGCAGCTTGGACAAAGAAAAAACCTGTGATGATTCAACCCAGAAAGTCGAAGGGAAACCATATTGCACATCAATGTAAACAGTCACTTTTGAGCAAGACAGAAATTCTACCAGCAAGAGGCCCAAAAAAAAAAACATTTTATTTCAACCAATTATGATTAAAATGAACCCAACAAGACCTACCAAAAACTCTTGCATTCAAACATCACCAATATATATATGGTTCACCTCCCTTGCTTATACAGCACCTCACATTCTGACATGCATCACAAAATCATTTACGATTATGACAGTTAAAATAAAAGCAAAGCATCAAAATAAAAGTTTAAGCAACTTTACACTGAACTAAGAATGAAAAGAAAAAGAGACATTGTTAAAGCAAAGCCTACTTCAAATCAATGAAAAAAGCACAATCTAATGACCTTTTTAATAATTATAATATTTAACAGAGAAGGCAACAAGAGAAACAAAGAAAACACATCAAGCCCGATGCAGCTAGGCCGAGTGCCACACAGTCGTGATAAAGGTGCTAGTCTACTACCTGATTGATACTACATCAAATTTTTATATTTAAAAAATAAAAATAAAAAGCTAAAAACAAAAGATCAAATAAAATAAAAACATACGAATTCCTCAATCAAAAAATATTTGCCAAGAAAAGTAATTTAATCAAGCTTTCACTCTCTGGATTAACAGAATTCAGCTGACATGGGAAAACCAATTTAAATAGCCCATAACAACTGCAAAGGTTAATAACATCTAAAAGTTGTTATTGTTTACCAAACCGGAGCAAATACATAAATGGATTTTCCATCTGATAGATTTAACAGCTGATGTCAACATCGGAACAGGATGAACAGAATCAACAGAAGCCTAAAGCACCACGGAGAATTTTATAAAACAAAGTTCCTGGAATAACTCTCAAGCTGCCAACCATACAGAGGTTAAACCAAAACTTGGTGAGACAGAAGAAACTATTTACATAAAAGAAGTTTTAGCCAATAGTATGCATGGGAGTTTTTCTTCTAGAAAGTCCATTAAAGAATGAAACACTTCACCTGATTTGAGGTTCAAAATGTGGAGTTGCACAAGATCTGCTCAACGAAGTCAACTAGTTGACAATATTCTCATCTATCAATTAACCAGAAAGCTCATTTAGTATCAACATTATATTAGACTTAAAGTGCCAAGTGTCCAAGACCTTCATGTTTATACTTTATTCATCCCGAAGAATATATAATTAGTAACCCTAGAGTGTTAATTTTTACTTTTACCTGCACCATTACTTGAATTCAAATTTCACAGCACACAAGCAAATAATACTATAATTGAATTCAAAGTTCCAAAAATATAATATAACAATTTAAACCAGAAACTTATCACAACTATTAAGCCCCAGTGAAGGCAATTATAGATGTCTTCAAATTCATCACACCTCATATCCTCTAAAAGAACAAAATCAAATTCCCAGCAAAGGGAAGACAATTATTACCAGCATATCAAGCAGCAAGGTCTGCATAAAGTCGCACTCAAGAGAGTCAGGAAATCCTCATTTATCCATGTCAACTGCCAGCAGTAAACACAGACTACATTAAACAGCTATCAATAATACACTCTTGTTCGAAACATAAGTTTCCAGTAAACTTTAAAGATACTAATCAAGAGGGTTAAAATGTTAAAATAACAGTCGAAAGTTCTAAAAGACAATAAATTTAATGGCCAGCGCCTTTTTTTGCTCTAAGCGATTCAAGAGCCTTTTTTCGTAATTCAATCTCAAGCTTTTTCTTCTCAGACTCCGTTTCTTCAGCATCGCTTGCACCAGACTCCATCCTCACAATGCGTTCACCATCAGAAGCATTACCATCATGATTCTTCACAAAATCTGAAGGTGGAGTGACAGTGTCAATTGACTTTGCTTTCAGCTTCTCTGCACGTCGCTCTTCCCTCTTGCGGCGTCGCTCGTCCCTCCGTCGTCGCCTCTCCTCCTTTCTCGATCTCTTCTCCTCCTTCCTTCTTCTCTTGGCGTCCTTCCTATCCTCTATTTCAGAATCATAACTTTCATCTGATGTCACTTCTTTCCTTTTGGACCTTTTATGTTTTCTTTTTTCATGAACTTCAGGGCGGTGCTTATCACTTTCCTGAGAGCCAGAACTCAAGGAACCACTTCTATCTTTCTCATCAACTTTTCTGGTTGACTTCAGTGCAGTTTCTGTTTCATGAAGCCGTTTGCTGCCCTTGACCTCATTTGAACGAGAGTTATTCTTCTCATCACTTAACGAAGAGTCTTTATTAACTGGTGGCGGTAACCGTTGTTGATCAGACACTTCAGGATGAAGCACTCGCCTGGAAGTTTTCTCACTGTCCAAAAGGGGGGCAAAATCAGGTTTGCATGGATATAATGGTCAAAATCATACAAACGACATAAAAATAACAAACCTCCTTATCTCCTGGTCTTTCATTCTCAATTCCAAGCCATCATGATGACTACGGATTTCACTAGACCGGCGACCACCAACCCTTTCAGAAGAATGGTCAACCTTGTAATGAACCCTCTCAAGTGAATCTTTACGCTCATCTGCTGTTGACGAATGTGAAGATTTTTTTTCTGAAGACTTGAGTTTCTGATCCCCATTGTTCCTAAATTCAAAGAAATCCAGTGAAACTCAGGATCTAGAATGAAACAACATTCAACATACTAGTGACAGAACCCAAAAACTCCCTATTTATCATATCAAATAACAAACAACAACGCCACCAACCTGGCATAGTTAGTCTCTTCCTTCTCTCTGCTAGATTCTGGACTCTCATGATGAGGATTTTGATTTCTAGGTTTCTGTGGAGGGCTTGCACTGATATCTCGGACTTTCTGTTCTTTTGGTTGCTTCACAGGCCTCTGATATGGGCTGTATGACCTTTAGGAGGAGTCATGCAAGCAATCCATATTCAATAACTATGATTATATGATTACACACCCACAATTTACAATATACCCCTACTCCTTTATTGCAAAATTTTATTTAAACTTACACCCCAGTTTCTCAGATATATAATGGTATTCATGACCTTCTTCATTCTTTTCCATGTCAATTAACTACTTAACCAGAATGAAAAGAGGGGAACACATTCCCTAAAAAGAAAGACTATATTTCAGTATAAATACCTCCTATCTTCACTAGGACTTCTTCTCCTGGAGCCTGGTGGAGATTCTGAAAGAGATTGAGACCTATGCGGCAAAGGCGATGAAGATGATGCTTTTTTATGGCTATTGTCTCGATCCCTTGAATCTCTCTGTGGTGACCTCAAAGAAATCGGTGGCCGACGCACCATAGAATCTGGTCCTTTACGAATGTCAGCAGAGTTTTCAACATTCTCTCTAGAACGAGGATGCCGAACAGGAGAGAACTTCTCGAGTGTCCTACATCATTACTTTTTACAACTCAGCAAATTGCTTCAATTCCTTGAACAAATCTATAAAGATACTAAAGAAAGAACATCACACATCAAGGAACTCTTAAAAATGCAAGAAGAGCCAACTATGAAAGGCACACTCATTACAATACCTTCTAATTTCCACAGCAGTATGAAAATTTTATTAGCACTGAACTCCAAAACAATTAAAAGCAGAATAAGAATACTGATAACAAATAGCATGCAATTCTCATAAAAGAAAATAAATAATTTTAATGCCAAAATACCTGACTCTTTCTCTAGGAGATTGAACAGGTGACTTTTGACGTTTTGGCGATTTCCTCCTTCCTGGTGACGGGGGCAAGCGGCGCACTGGAGACACAGAAATCCTCTCATCGGGTGAAGGAGACCTATGTCTAGAGGGAGTTGGTGATCTCCTGCGACGGTAAATAGGGGACCTACGTCGAATTGGAGATGGAGACCTATGCCGTGGAGTAGATGGAGATCTTCGATATCGCCGTCTTACAGGAGACGGAGATCTACGCCTCAATGAAGAGGGTGGTGATCTACGCCGCACTGGAGACAGTGACCTACGCTGCATAGGAGATGGAGATCTACGTCGTATGGGTGACCGTGATCTATATCGGAAAGGGGACCTGGATCTACGACGTACAGGTGATCTTGACCTACGTCGAATTGGAGACCGTGATCTACGCCTTAAAGGAGAACGCAATCTACGCCGTACAGGAGAAGGTGATCTACGACGTGAGCGTGATGTGGATCTTCGCCTAGAATGAGATAATCTACGTCTAGAAGGAGAGAGAGAACGCTGAGGTGAATACCTCCTACGAGGTGTGACTGACCGTCTTGGAGGAGAGTGATACACCCTTTCAGAAGAGATGGAGCGTCCTCTAGGTTGAGGAGGAGATTCAGATATATTTCTTGGCTTGCCTCTTTCACTGAAAAATATAAATTATATGAGTCGTGAAAAATCTATTCCATTACACACTACGATCAGAAAACATAAGAACCAAACAAGAAAATGCAATCAAATCAAAATAAACCGACAGTGATTGACATTAGATAATTATATATGCTCGTATGAGAAACTTACTCTGAATAACTTCTGGAATTGGAGAGTGACCTGCTAATTGATCTAGAACGTGTTTTTCTGCTCAAGAATCATCAACTTTTAAATTTAAATTGATCCGTAGATGCTAACAGATCGACACTCGCAAAAGAAAATAAAAAAGAAAGGAAAAAATTTAAAAGCATAGAGTGAGAAGAACACATACCTAGGAGACAACGAGGAACGTTCAGCTGAATGCGGAGATCTAGACACCCTGTACATGTAGAGAGAATACCATCAGTCTTCCATATGTGGTAGCAGTTTAAAATTGTTTTCACAAAGATATTCTCTACCAGAAACTCACTATTCCACTTAACAACGTGTTGATGACAAAGCACAACCAAGTGTTGAATCATATAGCTCAATAATGATAACATCTAAATTCTCATAATATTAACATAGAATCTGACAAATACTAATTTAATATTTAAATTTGAAAAACATACAGAAAGAAGACCATGCATATATTTTATCAAGTACATCAGCATATATAATGAATTGCCATTTTTTCCTCTCACCAAAAGGAGAGGAAAACAACTATATTTACCTACGCATTCAGGGCTTGTCAAATTTTCACTCACTGACATACAAAAACACTGTACTGTTGAATCAACAAAAATATCCACAGAATATCCAACCATCAGAAGACCCTTACATCTTTTTTTCACACCCAGTAAGGTTGCTTGTCATACAACTTCAAAGGGAGAAAATTGTAGCTTAAAATATAGCTGAGTACAGCAAAAATTATGCAGTTACCTGGTGTAGGATGGGGATGATATGGCAATGGCATGGCAAGGTGGGCTCGTGAACATACATTATCTCTAGTGGGTTCTAATTGATCTAATCATGAATCTAACTCAAGTACATTTTTGTTATATATAAATTTGAGTGGTCAATTCAATCTGAACTCAAGAAACTTACAAAATTTAAAACAAGAAGAATCTTAGTTCTTTTATTTCATGACCAAACTTGAGTGAGCCCCTAACCAAAGCAATCACAATTAGATTGCTTTGATACACAACCACAACAATACTTTGGAGGCAAGGTCAAGCATCATTCCAAATACAAAATTTTAGTTCAAACAAACCAACTTCATTAAGTCTATAGAAGCCAATAAAAAAAAGCACATCTAAACTTAAAAAGAATCTAAACATACCCCCCTCCCTTTTTATTCTTCAATTAGGTAAGACACACACACCCAAATAGGACTTGAAATTTGCACCCCTTCAATTAACAGTGGCACGAGAGACCCCTCAAGCTAATAGTCGGTGGTGCCTCTAATGCATCAATCTTTCACTTAACCTTTTCTGAGGCCCTTCGTCATAACACTACAACGACAATATTTCTTATAAAGGGAACCTATTTTCTTCCAGAAAATGGTAACTGCCTTTTGCATCGGTATAGCTCTACTGCTTTGGGAGGATAAGGAGTGCAGACAATGCGGTAGGGAAGGAAAGCTTGCCAACAAAGCTTGTGTTATTATTCACTTTACACCAATTATCAATGCAATTACACAGGGAACTTTGGAGAGGGATGAAAAACCTAGCTACCTCCCTTTTATAAGTCCATCTATCATGTATATTTGCTATTACCAAAAAGGTTTCTTGCTTGCCCTGGAGCCAAATATTTCTAAGATTCTCTAAAGACTTTATTTTTTTGTAAGTTCTCTGAAGACATCTTCCCTAACATAGAAATGGCTACTGCATCACTTCTCCCTTTTGAAGACCCACTTAGCCCTTCAGACACAAGGGAGCAATTTGAATCTCACGGAACATCCAAATATGCCATCAAATCATTTTTCAATTACGATACCATGAGAGTGATGTAGCTTAAACTAAGAAAAAAAAATCAATTAATTTCAGTTATTTACTTTTTCTCTGTTTATATTTAAAAAATGTGGCCACCACATCCACTCAAGTAGTCATGTGATATATTGGACAAGAATACTGAAGGACATGTAACATAGCCAAATAGATGCTGACACAAGAAAGTGAACGATAAGGACTAGGATTTAGGATTTTCCTCATGTCTGTCAGTATGGAGGGGTTGGGATTGAGTACACAAATGTGCCTGCTACTGCTACTGCTACTGTTACTGTTACTGCTCTTCTTTCTTCCTCTTTACTCTATATTCTTCTCTTGTTTTCAACTATGTTTCTCGCTCGTGATTCTTGGGGCCATACAAATTATGGTTGTGGTTGCTAGATTGTTTGGCACTAGCCTACTAGGAACACAATAGGCGGAATGGACACAAATGCAAAGGTAGCTAGCCAGGCAGGAGGGCCTAAAGAAAAAGGTAGATACACCAAGAAATATTTACCACAGTTAAGAAAATAAAACATATATTTCCATCCCTAACCTGCCCCTTCCTCTTGATCCATTCCTTTCACTGGTCTCTTTCTCATCAGCAGAATGAGCACCAGAAGCCCTCAACTGACGCTTTGAGCTTGGTTCCAAATCAGCATTATTAGCTCTCGAGATGTCAGCCTCGCCGTCCTACAGTAGTTTGAGGTAAAGGACATGAACCCAAATAATTGCAGAAGCAGGCTGAATGGCATGACAAACACAAAGGGAAGTCAAAAACAAAAGCCCAGCTCTACAGAAAGTAATTATGGCATGGAAAAAGTTAATTACCATCTTCCTTATTTTCTCTTGCTCAAGCTCTCTACTCTCCTTCTCCTTCTCTTTCTTCTTTTGAATTTCACTCGCTATCCTATCTGACTCAGCCTGCAATTGCCCATGTAGCAAAATTTATTTTTAAAAAAGGCAAAATATTGCCACAACTTTTTTAATAGAAAAAAAATGGGAGCCATATCATAATTCAGGCAAAAAAATACCTTCTTCTTCCTAGTCTCCTCTTCTTTGGCGTCAAGAAACTGTTGAGGGACACCACTTGCATTCTTCTCTGCACTGAGAAGAAGCATCCAAAGCTCTTTCATAAATTTTCCCGTATTTTTCTCCATGAATCCAGTAAGGGAAATCTGAACCTGCTTTCCATTAACTTCCTGCAGCCAAAGAGAAGAACAGTTCAACAGACATAACGGGGTAGGGAAAAAAAAAAAATTTTTACTAAAGCTCGTGAAGATAAAACACAAACACACATAGGAACAAAATCTTGTATAAATTTGCAGTGCACATGTTAAATCTTGTTTTCACTTTTCACATTACAAATTTTCCATCTTATCATATTGATTCTATTTTTCATATTTATTTATTTTTCCACCGTTTTCACCCCATTCACCTTCGGGAAGTTTTATCTTCTTTCAAGCAAAGCGTTTTTTTTTTTCTTTTTCATAAAAAAGAAAGATTTTTGTACTTTTCTTCAAATTATGAAAATGCTTAAGGCCTATTTTGGGAAGTGGCTTTCAGTAGCTGATCTTATTATCAACTTACGAAAATCCGAACATATGAGGATACCCTCACCTTATAAGATTCAAGTTAAAATGCTTGAAGAAGAGTATGGTCTGGAAAAGCTACACACGATCAAAAAGCACAACCAACGATATGGCAGAAATAGTCTATTTTACAGGGATTCAAAAGAGTGCTTTAATATTTTCTTGAGAACTAGAGTCTCAAATGGAGAATGAAATAAAAAATAGAAAAACTATTTATTACTGGTGATGTTAAAGAGGGAAGTTTTCCTGTTTATTGTTTAGTTTCTGGGTACCCAGTCTTTACTTAACTCAGCCCAAGCAATAGCCAAAGACTACCATGCCTTTCTTGGTCGGACCAACCCCACCGGCAAGTGAAATCAAGCAAACCCCTTTTTACAGCTCTTTTGTTTTTTGCTTTTTTTTGGGGAATAATATACATTACACAACACCACATAAAGTAGATGATTCAAAGTTCACAATCAATAATTTTTTTTCTAAATAATTGAGTAAGAGAAGCTCAAAACCTTTCCGTCTAGAAGGCCATAGATAAAGTTGATAAGAACTTCATCTTCAAATCCAAGGAGTTCAGTCACACGGTTCGCAATCCAAGGTCTGACAACATCCATCTTCACCTTCGACATGTCCACCTAAACACATCATTCATTCAGTCAAGATCAAAACCATTCAATTCTCAAATCACAGATACACAACATGAAATTTTATAATTACCAGATGGTCCAATTCGGGAGCGAACTTCTGCGATTTCAACAGCTTGGCTTGTTTGTTCGAGAACCGAGTGTCCTGATCGGCCGACGTACCCTGCAAATCCAAGTAAAAAAGATCGAAGATCTGAACCACACATATGCAATAAACTCGGATCTAACAACAAATCGCGATTGATATAAGTAATTATACATTAATAGAAACAATAGATAGAGATTCGAAATCTTACCCTGAAAAACCCTCCCGACATTTTCTAGGGTTTGTGCTTCAGATGGTGAACTAGAGATTACAGAGCGAGAGAGAGACGTAATTGGTTGTCACAGATTGTGGATTTAGAGCATGGTTTTTGGTAGTTGATGAAAGGAGGGTTTGGGAGAGGAGTGCGAGAGAATTGGGAAGGGGAGAGAGAGCGTATGGAGTCTCTGGACTGTGAAGGTGAAGCTTATCGGTCGAGCGTGGGTGTGTGTAGAGTGGTACATTTGTGGTGGTGGTGCCGAAAACGGGATGGGATGATTGCCCTAATTTCCGAATGGCGTATTGACGAAGCTACCCTTGTAGATTCTGCTCTCTCACCGACCTTAGGCCCCGTTTGTTTTGGGTATGAGAGGGGGATTGAGATGGGGGATTGAGATTAGAATAGTTGTGAGTCTCATTTAATGTGTTGTTTGTTTACAGAATTGAGAAAAGAATTGTTAAGCCAAAAGGCTTAGGATAGGCTTTGCAAATGGGATTCGGATGGGCCTCCAGGACTTGGTATTAGAAAAATAATTCGACGGATTAGAAATTTTTATTTATTTTTTTTTTTTTTTATTTTAATTTTTACATATCGGGCATTTTTTTAAAACATTAATGTTTAATTTTTTGTATTTTTTTTCTGAAAATTTTTTATTTTATTTTTATTTTTTTAAATTTTTTTACATGTTGGGTATTTTTTTAAAAATATTAATGTTTAATGTTTTTGTATTTTTTATTTTTTTTATTATTTTATATTTATTTTATATAAAAATAATTTAACAAATCGTTTACATTAACAACTTCATCAAAACAAACAACAATTTTGTACTTAATCCCCTCACATCAATCCCCCTCCTAGATAACAATCTCCTTACTATTAATCATGCTTAACTATCAATCCCTTCCAATTTTAACCTCTTGAAAACAAACGGGCCTTAAATTATTGAGTTTGGTTTGAGTTTTGTGGATTTTTTTTGAAAATAAGGGTAGTTGTTGGTTTAGGATTTTTTGTAAAGGAGTGATTTGAGAGAAATCTTTAAAAACAAATTTTTGGTTTGTAAATATTTTTTAAAATAATTTTCAAAATAAAAGCTTTCTCTCTCTTACCCATTAATCCAATCACTTTTTCTCTCACAATATATCTACTCCAATTATAAACAAAAAATATCAAATTCCATTCCCAACACCCAAAACTCTAAAATATTTTCCAAAATATAACAACCAAACAAACTAAAAAAATTCTAACCTCTACCTCCCCATAACAATTTTTAAAAAATACTCTCCCAAAACCAAACCAAACATAAATTTTTTATTTTTTCGGTATTTTTTTTTAGTTATAGTTTTTATAATTTAATATTTTTTTATTTTTTAGATACATTTTACTTAGATTTATCTAAAATTAAAAAAAATGTTGTGAAAAATATTTAAAAAATTTAATAAAACATAACAAATAATAAAAATATAATTGAATTCTCGTTTTTTGTTATATTTGTTATATTTAGTAATTTTTAAAAGATTTTTTTCACAAAAATTATAATATTTTATGTTATATTTAATGTGGTTGTTTAAAATTAAAAAAAAATTGCTTAAAATATAATATAAAATTTAGTCAAATAAAAAAAAATGATAAATTAAAAAAGTAAAATTTTTTGAAAAATTTTTTTTGAAAAACCAAAAAAATAAGCAAGTTGCATTATTATTATTATTATGTAGTGTAATAAAAATCATCATTTTTTGATTTTTGAATTTTCAAAAACATCTTTTTAGTTAATTTTTTAATACTATATTTTAATTTTAATCTAGATACAAAATAAATATATAAAATTGAAGATGTATAAAATTTTTATAATTTTTTATAAATACATTTTTGTTTTTATATTTAGTGACTTTTTTAAAAATCAATTATGTACTCTTTAGGCATTTTTATATTTATATTAAGTGAATTTAAAATTTTAAAAAATCTTCAAAAAAAAATATGAATTGAAAACTTAAAAATTTATTTTTAAAAATTTAAAACCAAACACAATAAATAATATCTTGTCACATACTTTTAACTGTGTTTCTAATATAATTTAAAAGGGTGAAAATTTTCTATATAAATAAAGCAAAAATATGGCTATTTAAAAAAAATGAATAAAAATAATTTAAAATTAAATTAACCTTTTATGAAGATGTAACTGAGTCTAATCCCAAGAATATAGAGTTAAGGAGCAAACAAATTTTCAGAGACCTCTTGTAATTACTGAAAAGCAAGATTTTGGATAGTATAAATACATATTTCAAAAGGAAAATGTCTCGTAACTCAAATTTTGTGGCTCAAATGGCCAAAACGACGTCGTTTTGGCCATTTTTATGTTATTTGGTACTCAAAACGACGTCGTTTTGGCCATTTGAGCCACTTTTGAGCCACAAAATTTGAGTTACGTAGCATTGTCGTTTTCAAAATTATATTATGCTTTTGGATAAATCACACTAGCTATTATTGAGATTTGAGTTTATTACAAGGAGCTCTATTAGCCTCCGTTTGGAAAGTGGGTTAGCTTTTTGATTTTTTTGACTATTTTAACCTGGGCTAAAAAGCTTGGTTTGGGAAGGACTTTTTGACTTTTTAGTTTTTTTGGCTTTTTTTGTGAGAGAAGAGTGTAATGATTATGGGTTGGATGTGATGTTTTGTTTGTTGTGGCTAACATAGCCTATTTTGTCTTTTGTGACTATTTTAGCCACAAACCAACTTGCCAAACAACACCTTAGTATGAGAAAGGTATTGTTGAGATTTAAGTTTATTACAAAGAGCTCTATTAGTATGAGAAAGTTATATCCGTTTCATGAGTTTAAAATTTGGCCCAATTGTTACAAAAAAAAAATTAATTAGTTAAACTTTTTATTCTTAAACTTTCATTTGAATTTTGTTTTGGCTTCTTAGTTTTTAATTGTAACAATTAAAACATTGAGTTTTAATATTTATTTCAATTGGGGCAATTTGTCACTTGCCATTAAAAAAATGATAAAAAGTGCTCATAGAGTGAGCATGTAAGTATATTAAGAACATAAATAAAAGTATATATGAAAAATTTACACTTGTTGCTCTTTAACTTTGTAGAGGGTCAGAAATTAAGCCCCAAACTAAGTACGAGCCTAAGCACTGAGATCGTCCCAAAGAGGCAACTAGGAATAAAGAATGAGCATGGCCCAAAGCCCAAGGGAAGTGGGCTAACATTGGGCCAAAGCAGATCCAACCCACCAGGGGTCCAAATGGACTCCACGAAGGAAAATGCCTAAGTCAAGTTGCAGAGGCAACACCTGCAGCAGTGAAGTTGCGGAGGGAACATGTGCAGTAGGAAAGTTACTGAGGCACATTGCCTCAGCGCTATCATTCCTAATATCTTCAGTTCCGCCACCATTCAAAATTGCTGAGGGAAAGAAAGCCAACACAACCAAATTGCAGAGGCAACACTTGCGGCAGTCAAGTTGCAAAGGCACTTCGTTCCAACGCCGCCATCCCAAGTAATGTCGGTACCACAGCCATCTAGAGTTGCTAAGGAAAGAAGAAAAATGAAGCAACTAAGTTACTTTCAGCGCCCAAGTTGCGAAGGCATTCTTTCGGCTCTGCCATATCTAATATCTTCAGTCCTGTCGTCTGAACTTGTCGTGGGAAATGACTACTGCAGCAACTACGACCGCAGTAACTAAGTTGCAGAAGCAATATCCCACCAAGGTGATAGCAACCTTTAGGAGAGGCCTTCATCTACAAGTAAAGGCTAATGCTTGGCGCTGATAGCAGACCCCAAGGCATTACTAGCCTAGGGCTGATAGCAGGCCCCAAAGTTCATTTCACTTGGTGCTGATAGTAGGCCCCAAGACTTATTGGTTGGAGCTGATAGCAGGCCTAGAGATACTAGTTTACCGTGATATCCCACGAAAATGGAAGCAGGGTAGCTTGAACATAAGGGACTTCCTTTCCATTACCCAGGTTATGGACCTGCCTTAGTCGCACAGGCAGGACTAAGGAAGCCCCTTTGGGCTTGATACTAAGGCACATCATAGCTGGTAGCGAGCTTGGCTGTGGCCTTTACCCTGAGAAGTTGGGGAGTTTGTGGTTACGTGGCTAAGGGTGGAGGCTTTGCTAAGGTGAACACGAATGCAGTTGATAACATACTAATGGAGTCCTAAGAATGCATGTACTAGCCAAATAGAACTGAGAAGGCAAGTGCAATGGCAAAGTTCACCGCTGCAAGTGCACTTGCTGAGGTTCAAGTTGAAAAGGCAAGTGCAGAGGCAAACACTCTCGCTGCAACTGCACTTGTTGAGGCTCAAAAGGGAGTTACAGTGCCAAACACTCCTGTCGCAACTACGCTTGCTGAGGCTCAAAAAAGTAGTTGCGGAGGCAAACAGATAGTACACAGTACATGCAGAGGGACACGTGGTACCTTCAGCCTGGTGGCTCAAGGTAGAATATTCCATGTGATCCTCTAGGACACATGTCTTCTCTCTATTTGGCCACTTAGTGTCCTCTTGGTACCAAGGAAAAGCCTATAAATATGACCTATATCTCTCTTGAGCCACTTGCTTCACCCTCACCCAGCTACACACTCTCCAACTCTCATACTGTTGCTGTTACTCATTCTCCAGTCACTTCCACCATCTTTGGACCATTAGCGTAGTTTTGCCTCTCTAATCACTTCTCTGACCTTGAACCCCTTACATTTCTGGCAACTTTGCTGGGGAGGCTGCTTTGTTAATGGTCCATACCCGTAATGGCTTACACATTTCACTAGAAAATATGGCAGATGATGAAGTTCAGCAAACCCTACGGCAACAAGGCTCTTCCAATGGCGAAGCAGCGCATGTGAAGGACCATGACCACAGTGTTGTGATTAAGGCAGTTCAGTCATTCCAAGATACGCAGAAGGAGATCCTGGCAGCTTTACAAACTCTCACTAGACTATTATGGCCATAGCTTCTATACCAACTCCAGTGCAAGCACCTCCGCCTGTAGCAGTCTCAAACCCAGTGCCTAACTTGTTTCCTAAGGTTTGGGCTCCGATCCAAGTGCCTCTGGTGGTACCTCAGGTGAACGGTACGGCCGTTGGTTTAGCTAACCAGGAGCAGACTAGACCATTCCAACCCACTCATTTTGTTACTCTAGCCGATGTACAAGCTATGCTCGAGCAAGAGCGTAGCAAGAAGTAGTTTCCATCTCTACCCAAGTTTATTAAGTTTGATGAAAAACAAGGCAATGCCAGAGAACACGTGGTGAGGTTCATTGAAACTCTTGGTGTCCATGGTAGTGACCACTCTCTGCGTCTTCGGGAGTTCTCCAAATCACTAACTGAAAAGGCTTACAGCTGGTATATGAACTTGGCTCCCAACTCGATCAAGAGTTGGAAGGAGATGGTAAACAAGTTCCATACGAAGTTCTTCCAAGTTTAAGAGAAAGTTACAACCCTCACACTTGGGCGAATTATCCAAAAAGAAGGCGAAGATATACTGGACCATGTTAAGCGGTTCCAAGATAAGGCTATTGACTGTCATATACCAGTGGATGAGGCCCATTTAGTCATCATATGTGTGGAGGGTGCCATACGTGACTACAAAATTTTCTTGGTGAACCATAATCTGCCTACCTTTTCAGCCTTGATTAAAGCAGCTAGGAACCTTAGTACCACTAGTCCCTTACACAGATCTCGTGACAGTGACCGCTACCCTTGCCGTAGCAAAGTTGCTGCGATAACCTCTATAGGAGAGAGCCGCTCGCAAGCAGAGGCCTCGTTCTCTCGAAAGAGGAAGAGTTATGAGGACAGAAATCCATATCCTTGCAGCCTTGAGAATGTTAAGGCCTTGGTTAAAGAATAGGTAACTGATGGTGAACTTACTTTACCTCCGGTTAATGTCCCTCCAACCAAGAAGGACAAAGAAAGCCTAGATTATTGTGTCTATCACAGAACCACCAAACACCCTATTAGAGACTGTTGGACTTTGAAAGTATCTTCAAGAAGAAAGTTGACACAAATGAGCTGAAGTTCAAAGATGCCATTAATCGCGATGTAAAGAAGGACCCCTATCCTAATCACAAGCAGAAGAGGAAGAATGTACACATGATTGGCTATCTTGGGCCTATGCGCGATCAAGTGCACATGGCGCCCTATTATGATGAGTTAGAAGAAATCACAACTAGCCAGCTCCCTGAAACAGTACCTGCAGAGGCAAAATTCGCAGATGATACTCATGCTCAGGCCTTGCAAAACTCTGTTAAGTTTCGCACTTTCTTTGACCAGCTGGGGCTGAACCAGGTTGGAAGCGACAAAGGCCCTTATTAACATTTTCAAAGTGCACCATGATGAAGTTGCTGAGGCTAAGGAGTATGTGCCTCGGTGTATCCAGGACGATTATGGGGCCATTACTTTTTCAGAAGCAGACAGAGCATATCCATTTCCTCATAACCGTCTTCTTTTTGTCACAGCTTACATCAATGATATAGAGTTCAAGCATCCTTTCCTTGATGGTGGGACGTCCATAAACATCATCACTATTGACACTTTTGCAAGGCTTGTATCCTAAAGTCCAAGATGGTTCGCCAACCCATCACTATAACGGGTTTTGGTGGTGAGAAAAAGGTTACTAGGGGCCATGTTGTCGTGGACTTAGCAGTTGGCGAGATCCGCTCCGCCACTAAGTTCCATGTGATTGAAGCGGACACAAATTACCATATGATACTTGGCAGAGCTTGGATATACCGATATGGGGCTATCCCGTTAAGTTATCACCAATGCATGAAGGCAAAGTTACGAAAGCACACAGTAACCATAAATGCATCTGAAAAGTCATTTGGAGTAGAAGAGGCACACTATTCTGATGCGGTTTTCTTTACTGAGCTGTCAACGGATAAAACTCCAAGCACCAGGAAAATTATAGGGGCAAAGTTATCGAAGTGGGAAGACATTCAAGATGCAGAGGCTACTCCAAAAAGTAGTGGACAGAAAAGGAGCAGCAAATCCACAAGTCCTCTGCCCAAGATTGTTAAAGTGCGCGAGGGCGGCAAGACAGTTTACTACCTATGACGGTCTTAGAGGCCAAACTTCATACCTTTGGAGGATGGCCCCGAGACAAATAAATGTGACGGTGATGAGTCCCAAGAAGGATTAGTAGAGACGCTTGAGCCCGCCCCTGAATGCATGCAAGATAGGCCCAAACCGCAATAGGAGGTACTTGCTAAGGTCAACCTCAATGACTTACCTGGGCAGAGCAAGCCGGTGTTTATCAGCGATACAATGGCTCCAGAAGCCAAGGCAGAATTGATAACACTACTAAAGCAATACAATGATGTCTTTGCTTAGACATATGATGAGATGCCTGGTCTTGACCCATCCCTTGTCACTCATCATCTGGACACTTTTTCTAACTCTAAACCAATCAAGCAGCATGCTCGAAAGTATCACCCTGATCTTGAAGTAAAGATTAAGGCAGAGGTAGAAAAGTTACAGAGGGCCAAGTTCATTGAACTTATACAATACCTAACTTGGCTAGCAAATATTGTACCTATGTAGAAGAAGAACGGTTAGATCAGGGTCTGCGTAGACTTTCGCCACTTGAATAAGGCCTGCTCGAAAGATGAGTTTCCATTGCCCCATGTCGACACACTTGTCAATTCTACTATGGGCCATCAGATGTTCTCCTTCATGGATGGGTTCAGTGGTTATAACCAGATCAAAATGGCACTAAAAGATGCAGAAAAGACGGCTTTCAGAACGCCTTTGGAAAAAATTTTCTATACGGTGATGCCCTTTGGTTTGAAAAACGCGGGGGCAACCTACCAACGGGTTACGACTGCAATTTTCCATGACATGTTGCATCATGAAGTGGAAGTATATATGCATGATCTGGTGGTCAAGTCTATTGAGGCAAACCGCCACCTCTGCGACTTGGAAAAAGTTTTTCAGCGTTGTCGCAAATTCTGCCTCAAGATGAACTCTCTCAAGTGTGTCTTTGAAGTTACCGCCGGCAAGTTCCTTGGCTTTCTTGTACACTGGCGGGGGATCGAAGTAGATGGGGATAAGATCAAGTCAATCATGGAGATGCCACCACCACACTCTCAAAAGGCCTTGAAGAAATTCCTAGGCAAAGTTTCATACCTGAGGAGGTTCATTCCAACCCTTGCTGAGATAACCTTTTCCTTTGGGACACTGCTGAAAGGAAATCACAAGTTTGAATGGTTGCAAGAACACCAACATGCGTTTGATATGGTGAAGAAAGCACTTACCTCTCCACTTACAATGATTGCCCCACAGCTCGAAAAGCATTTGCTACTGTACCTGGCCTCTACTCCTCGGTCTATTGGAGCTTTACTTATCCAAGACATAGATGGCATTGAGAAACCAGTCTATTACATCAGTCACAAAGTCAATGGTGCCGAGTCGCGGTATACCCCAATTGAGAGACATTGTTTAGCCTTAATCTTTACAGCGTAGAAGTTACGCCATTATTTTTTAGCACATCCGATCCAGGTTGTGACCCAAAGTGATCCAGTCAGCTACTTGCTGGGCAAGCCCGCTCTGACTGGAAGAATAAGAAGATGGCTCTTGGCTTTAGCAGAACGTGGCATCACTTGTGTTACTCCCAAGGCTATTAAGAGCCAAGTGCTTGCAAACTTATTGGCCCAATTCCCATCTAGTAAACATGAACCTGCAGAGGTACCTCTACCAGATGAGGTCCATGTCTCAACAGCTGTAATTGAGACTTATTGGGACTTAAAATTAGATGGAGCTTCCGGAGCTGGGAAAGGCGGAGCTGGCATAACATTTACCAGTCAAGAAGAAGAGAAGTTTCATCTGTCATATAAGCTTGACTTTGAGTGTTCAAACAACGAGGCTGAATATGAGGCGTTAATACTGGGTCTAATAGCTGCCCAAAAGAAGGGCCTCCACAAGTTGAGAATTTGGGGTGACTCCAAGTTAGTTGTCAAGCAAACAATGGGTGATTTCACCTTAAAGGAGCCTCTGTTGGCTCCATATCGCACCATGGTTCAAAGGTTGCTCACTCAGTTTGAGGATGTCCAAATACAACATACTCCTAGAACACACAACCATTTCCCCAATGCCTTGGCTACACTGGGGGCAAAGGTAGAGATACCAGATGATAGTATAGCCATCGTTATTGAGAAAAGAATAACACCAGCAATGCTAGTAGAAGAACATACAGAGCAAGATACTGAGGGGTGGAAAGCAGATATAATTCAACAGTTGAAAACTGGCCAGGGAATAATCAAACCAGCAAAACTTGCATTATTTCTGCTCCTCAAAGGAGAGTTGTATTTTTGTAGTCCCAATAACTTGCTGGTAAGGTGCGTCAGCAAACAAGAAACAACTTACAGACTTAAGCAGATCCATGCTAAGTCCTGTGGAGATGGAGATATCAGTCTATACCGACGGATACAGAGGCAAGGGTAATACTGGCCAAAGATCGAGAAGGAAAGTATTGAGTTGCAGAAGCAACGTGCAAAGTGTCAGTTCTATCCTAAGGAAGAGGAAGCCCATTTCTTAAGAAATGAAGAATGGAGGCAACTATATATTGACTACCTTGGAAATGGCACGCTGCCTAAGAACAAAATCGATGTAATCAGAGTTAAGAGGCGAACCCTCCGCTTCTTCCTTGACCAAGACAAACTGTAACAAAGAAGTTTTGAAGGGGAACCTTTGGCGTGTTTATCAAAAGTGGAGGCAAATGAGGTGCTGAGAGAAGCCCACAAGACAGAACATCAAGGAGAGCAGCGATTATATGGACACCTCATTCACTTCGGCTACTACTGGCCGACAATGGAAGAAGATGCTAAAAACTTTGTGAGGAGATGCCAATCCTGCCAGAAGTTTGGAAATTTGATACATGCACCGACAGTTGGACTACACAACTTCAATACTCCTGACTTGTTTCATACATGGGCATTCGACCTAGTGGGTCCTATAGCGCAGCAATCCAAAGGCTATAGATAGATACTTGCAGCAACTGAAGTTAGCACCAAGTGGGTAGAAGCTATACCGATAAGGAAGGCAGATGGGGTAAGAGTAGCCAACTTCATTAGAGAGAACATAATCTGTAGGTTTGGCATACCCAAAGTAATGTTGTCTGATAATGGAACTCCCTTTGTAAATCGCCATGTGTGAAGACTGTTGGATGCCTACAAGATCAAGCACCACAAGTCTAGCCCATACTACCCCCAAGGGAACAGACAAGTTGAGGCGACCAACAAAACCCTTATCCGAATACTAAGTAAAATGATGGATAAAGCATGGGGCACATGGTCTGAACAACTCCCCATAACACTCTAGGCGTATAGAATGTCAAAGAGGAAGCCAACTCAAGCAACCCCATTTTTCCTAGTATATGGGTCTAAAGCTGTGTTACCAGTTGAGTTAACAGTACCCTCAGCAAGAATGGCTATATCAGCACACTTAGTTCCAGACAGCAGGAAAAATGACATAGAGGCAGCCGAAGAAAGAAGAGATCGGGCCTCGCGAGCAATGGAAAGGTATCATCAATCCATAGCTCCTGCCTATAATCAATCTGTTCAACACAAGAAGTTTAATGAGGGAGACTTGGTATGGAAAACAGTGGATGCAATCATACGACGGCAACCAATTTCCAAGTCCTCACCCATATGGGAAGGCCCCTACAAAGTTGCTAAGGCAAGCAGCAGCGGGTACTATAAGTTGACAAGAGTAGATGATAGGTTCAGAACTGGCCCTATTAACGCCAAGTATGTCAAAGAATATTTTCCTTAATTTCTTTTTGAAAAAGAGTTGTAAGCTTCTTTGTTAATACTTCCAAACCAAAGTGTAAAGAAAGTGTCATACACTTAGTAAACCTGTTACTCTCATATACACTTAGTGTGAGGAAAGTTTTCCATACTTAGTGAAATTTTATCCTTGTAAAAACTCAGTTATGATAAAACTTTATTCACTATAAGAATTTTGCCTATCTTTAGAAGTTGTATAAAAGCAATGTAAGGAAGGCGAAGAAATGAAATTCAAAGTATTACAAAACATCCACACTTTTCATTAAAGTCAAACTTCCAGAACATGATTACAATGTTTGAAAAGAAGTTCTGACAGAGAAGAAGAAAAGAAAAGGCACCGCAAGCACAATGAAACAACAAAATAAAGAAAAGAAAATGAAGGAAATCATAATAGAGTTACATCAAATCAAATCAAACCCTTCAAAAGGGAGTCCATCTGGGTCATATCTGGAGACAGCTGGGGAACCAACGCAAAATCCTTCTCTTTGAACCGAGCCAGGTTCTGCCGATGCTGCTCCAAGGCACCCTCACACTCCTTGATAGTCTCCTTCAAGGATGCAATTATCGCCACATTGTCTGCATGCTTAAGGAAACCATCAACTGCCTGAAGCCTATCCCTCATCCATGATAGGTCCAAACCGTTCCTCTCGAAGTCGCTCAGGTTGGCCTCAGCACTTTCCACGAACTTGCTGGGACTTGTCAGGATCTGCTTGGTAGCAAGGTCACAAATGAAGCTGGCAAGTGACTCTAGCAGCGCCGTCTGCACTATAGATCCAGGAACATTAAAGGCATTAAAAGTGTTCGGATGCAGTGCCTGGATACAAGCAAGAGTTGGAGCAGCTTCGAAGGAGACCCAATAACTTAGAAATGATACTTTCTCTAACGACTGAGACGACTCTCTCACATCACCTCCAGCTTCAATCACTGAAGGGATACTGGCAGAGCGACCAAAAGTCTGAGGGCGACGCACTTCCCCTAAAGATGACTAGCCAGCAGCATTAGAGTGGGTAGATGTTGGCTAGCGACCGGGTGAACTAGCCTCGTGAGAAAAACCAAAGCTGCCTACAACACCATGTCGCTCCGAAAAGAGGTCATCTATCTGGTAGTCTCCAACGTTCAAATCTGGAACAACAGTGGTATCTATCCCAGTATAAAAATCTTGAGACACCCCAAGGTCAGCTGGCACATCTGGAAAATGAGTGGGGTATAAGTCTTTCAGAGGTCACCGAAGTAACTGGGTTAGAGGTCCTAACGGCAGCAGTAATAGTGTGGGCGGCTAAGGTGATAGCTACCTCGGCAAATCAGTCCAAATTTAGAGGGGCCACAGCAGGAACAGTGGAAGTAGCCGCTACACTTGCACTCCCCTCAGCCAATGGGACGTTGGGATGTGGAGTCTGTTGAACTAATGGAGACTCAGCGGACTGGAAGGAACCGCCAGATGCAGCTCCAAAAGGAGGTGGTGCAACTTCCAGCGACTCTCTCACGCAGCAATCTTCCCTTGGGGTCTCAGGGACAAAATCATCTCCACCGACAGAGGAACGGTCGGAGTACACAGAATCAGCGGGGTTTGGAGGCTCTAAACCCTCAGCAACTATATCACCCGCTGCAACTTCTACAGCAGGGGGAACTTGTACATTGTCTGCAGCCTCTACAACTGGCTCGGCCTCAGTAGTTGGTTCGGCTCTAACACTTGGTTCCTCTTAAACATCTAGAAGTACTGTTCTATGGGTCCTGAATCTTGTGACCCTTAGAGCAATGGGAAGGTTGTCGTCGTCGTCCGAATCTGTGGAAATGCCAATGGCAGTAAAAGAACCTCCGGGGCCTGAAGGTGGCGCGATCAATGGGCCCTAAAAAGGAAGAAGATTATGCGATTAATAAAGTAAATATAAGAAGCCCAAGAAAGTAATGCAATAATATTTTCTAAGTATGAATACCTTTCGAAGTCTCTTCCTACTTGGTGAGGCATGTGCATCAGCAACTGAAGTCGTTGTTATTTAGGTTGTCCTCAGTCGGGAGCGAGTCATGCGTATTGTTATGTCGACTTGAGCGGGAGCAATTTGCAAAGGTTGAACAGACATTGCCCCAGACAGGTGAGGCTCCTCCACAATGGGCAGGGATAAAATCTTATAGTGGCAGAATATCCTGGATTGTTTCCCTCGGCAAGAAGGCAGATGAAGAGATAAGTCAGGCTGCGGGATAGGTTCCATCGCAGGGACAACCGGAGCGCTGTTGTAAAAATTGAAGAAAGAATTGAGGTTGCGGTACCAGAACAACCTGTTATTAGGACTAAAGGCGCTCTCTCTTCCAAGTGAGGGAAGCTCCATGAAGCCTAAACCCTCCACAAGCAGAGGGGTATAGTTATGGAAATCGCTGAAAGCTCTGGTAGAAATCAGTCTGAGGCGGAGGGGCAAGTGGGACACCCATAATCCATTCCGAATTGCCTACGGACCGTGTCTGGTCGATAGACGACGCTAGACATGCCCTCTTCGTTCCATACGGGTAAAAATCCAGGGCATATCATAACAGCAATGAGAAAGGGAGTTAGCCTGGACACTATCGAAAGAAAAATCAATGTGACGAGCCTCTAAAAAATAAAATAGGACAACAAAAATGCCTAGAAGAAGCTAAGTGAAAGAGCGGAACACGCACTCCTCCATGCGGTCAACGTAGTCTGCAAAGGGTCTGTTGGTGCCAAGGCCAGACCACCGAGAAATGTGAGGTAGAGATTGATGCACTTGCCTTGTGACAGGTCGACCCTCTGTATCTAGAACAGGGCAGCCTTCTGCATCAAAGACTTCATCAGTGAAGAAGGGCTTATGTTCTTTAGAGATAGGGCCAATGGCAAGGAATCTCTCATAGAAAAAAAACAGTCAGGAACTGAGTGTGTACAAAGCTCCACACATCATAGCGGTCCATGGATCGCTTCATGTCCAAATAGATAAGGTCAAGGTGGGAGTATAGGTTCCCCAAGAAAAGAGGGGCTAGAAGAATCTAACTGTCAGTGCAGAGCTTGACAGCCAAAGGAAACACCAGGGGATTAATGCTTTCGGCAGGGTTACTAGGTATAACAAAAAATGAGATGAAATAACTGACGAAGGCGGCCAAGTACAAGTCGCCACAATAGCCCGGCCGAACTACGGAGTCGCGGCTCTCCTCTGTGATATCGCCTACAACTAGTTGCAGGTCCTTGAAAAAATGCTTGAACCAATAAAGATAGGTGGTTTTGTCCCTTTTAGGTCTCTCCTGGAGCAGTTCCCTAGTTCTGAGGTCATACCAAGCGCCAAACTTCTGTGTTTCCGGAAAGGTGTTTTGGAGAGCAGTGACGGCAACTTGCTCTGCAAGAGTCAGAGACGCTGGATCAAATGGGTGGTCTCTACGTTTGCTCAGGCGCAAAAGGACAGTAACGTCTTCTAGGGTTGGGGTTATCTCCCCACATGACAAAGCAAAAGTGTGAGTGTCGCGGCTCTAGTGGGAAACAATCATATCAGTGTTAGGTTGTACCTTGAGCACTAATAACTCCCTCGAAATCAAAATGGCATTGAAAAGACGAACATCACGCAAACACTGCTCGAAACAACCATCTGCAATGATGTCATCAACCAAGAGGGACCAATCTGCTGGGGGGCCTGAATGAGTGCGATAGTAGATGTATGAATGTGGAAAGTCGTCGTGCTCCACACGAAACCGCAGCACAAAGACTGGGTTCACCATGTCTATGTCATCCAAAGTAGCCTCCCCAAAAAGAAGTAGAGGCTCCTCTAGAGGAAAGGCATCAGGAATGAAGGAGTCAACTGCCTTCCAGAATGGGTTAGCCAGCCCTTTAAAGTATGGGGCCCTCTTCCTCTCAGTAGGAGGTGGGGCAACCCTGTCGGGTAGAAACCTTGTGTTGGCCATGAGGGAGAGTAAAGAAAGGTAAAGAAGACTTTGGAAAATGGGGACAAATGAGAGAAGGAGACAAGGAGACAAAAGGTGTGTTTAGGTAGAAGTGGGAGACCAGTGGACCTAAGGGCACTATTTATAAAGAATGAGGCAAAAGGCGTCAACACGCTTCCCAAGGCCCATTATGACCTGTTAGTCAAATGGGGCACCTTTTCAGAGCCAACGTAACTTTTAACCCAACCGACGCAACCCTTAAGCTACTTGCTAACGTCATGCAGGCATAGAAAACTAGGAGCGTGTCCCTCACGCGCGCAGGGGGTAAATGTAGAGGGTCAGAAATTAAGCCCTAAACTAAGTACGAGCCTAAGCACTAAGGTCGCCCTAAAGAGGCGACTAGGAATGAAAAAGGAGCATGGGCCAAAGTCCAAGAGAAGTGGGCCAACAGTAGGCCGAAATAGGTTCGACCCACCAGGGATCCAAATGAACTTTACGAAAGAAAATGCCTAAGTCAAGTTATAGAGGCAACACTTGCAGCGGTGAAGTTGCGAAGAGAACATGTGTAACGAGAAAGTTGCTGAGGCACCTTGCCTCAGCACCGTCATTCCTAATATCTTCGGTTCCACTACCATTTGAAGTTTCTGAGGAAAAGAGAAAAGCCAACGCAACTAAGTTACAGAGGCAACACTTGCGACGATCAAGTTGCAGAGGCACTTCGTCCCAGCGCCACCATCCCAAGTAATGTCGGTGTCGCCGCCATTCCAAGTAATATCGGTACCACAGCCATCTGGAGTTGCTAAGGAAAGGAGAAAACTAAAGCAACTAAGTTACAGAGGCATTACTTGCAGTGTCCAAGTTGCGGAGGCATTCTGTCGGCGTCGCCATCTCTAATATCTTTAGTCCTGCCGTCTGAACTTGCCGCGGGAAATGACTACCACAGAAACTACGACTGTAGCAACTAAGTTGCAGAAGGAATATCCTGCCAAGGTGATAACAGCCTTTGAGAGAGGCCTCCCTTCGCAAGTAGAGGCTAATGCTTGGCGCTGATTGTCACGACCTAAACCCGTCCATATGGGTTTAGTATCGTAACCGGCCAGTAATCCTTGGATT